TAATTGCTGATAATTCAAAGTTTGCTACAACATTCTGAAAATTTGATCAAGCCATAATGTTAGAAATTGAACGTGCTGTAATTTATGGTCATTGTGATGCATACACCATAAGGAACTTATTATAACCATTATTTCCTAATCAACTTTTTCTTACCCAAGATCTCTCGAATGCTATACAAAAAATAAACCGTGAAAAAATATTGCCAGCTCAGACATCTCTTAATTGTTAAAATATCTTCTTGAGAAACAAAAAAAAGAGCCTATGATGTTTATACAACCTTTTATTAATATGGATAGTGATAGATTATGTAGTATATTTTGGATGACAGGAGACCAAATTATGTTGTAGACCCATTACTCAGATGTCATTTTACATGATAACACCTCAAGAACTAATAAATATAACTATCCTTTATCATTGTTTATACTTGTTGATAATGATAGAAAATTACGGTTAGGGGGACAAGCCTTTATAAATGATGAGACACAAGAAAGCTATGAGTGAATATTACAACAGATATTAGATACAACTGGTCTTGAACCACAAGTTATTTTAACAAATATGGACCCAGCCATGAATGCTGCTTGTCAAAATATATATAATAATGCTTATCATGTATATTGTATTTGGTACTTATCTCAAAACTTACCCAAATAGCTTAAAAATAAACTTGGTTCTGCTGATTACAAAGCATTTATTAATGACTTTTAGAAAATACGCAATGCATTATGTGTTAATATTTTTGAACAAAGGTTTCAAACTTTATTAAATACATATCCTAATATTAATAAGTATTTGTAAGATCTGATTTATACAACATGCTATTCTTGGGTACGTGTTTTTACAAGCCGAATATTTACAGTTGGTATGCAGTCAATACAATGTGTTAAGTCAATAAATGTGCTTATCCACAAAGCTGTTTCTGCTAGTTCTTCTATAGCTAATGTAGTAGAAGCATTAGATTCTCGAATACAACAAGAACCTATAAATAAAAGTTTTATGGCTTGGAATACAAGTCAACAATATATCAACAACTATTCATTGTAAAGAACTTTTTTAATAAAATAAATAACTTAAAAAAAAATATTTTTCACTACGAATTATTGAAGCGATCCATACACAAATATACGAATCTGTACTATATAAATATGAAAAGGTACCTAATGAAGAAGCTTTTAAATTTATTAAAGATCAATTAGTAAGTTAATTATGATTTCTTTTATCTATTTTGAATTCTTATATTAGTATTTATTAAGTGAATATTATTATAGATTAAGGTTTAGGTTAGTGTTAATTAATAGTAATAAGAAAGTATAAATTAATTTAAGGTTAGATGAGTTAATTTAGTATAAGAAAAGTTTATGCAAAGTATACTAGTAGTTAAAGTTAGAGTTAGTTTAAGGTTAGTTTATGGTTAGGAAAGGGTTATACGAAGTATACTAGTAGTTAGAGTTAAGATTAGATTAAGGTTAGTTTAGAAATAGTTTAGCATTAGTATTAGTTAAAGATATATTAACTAGTATATATTATATAATTTTAGAATGAAGTACTATTAGCGGATAATCAAGATAATGAAGACATTACAAATATTGAAGACCATTATGACCATCGACAAGCATATTTAAAAACACTAATGAATTCAGTTTTAAAAGAATTAATTTGTGAAATGTGGAGAATTGTTCCATATATGACAACAAGTTCATATCAGCATATTATTTTTCTCAAGGATGGAACGCATTTATGTACATGCTTATTGTTAGTATCATATAAAACTATTTGTCGATATTACTTTAAACTCATGGTAGAAAATTTAAATGTATTGTTTCATATTAAGATAATACTAACACAATGGTTTCAGGATGATATGTGAAATAAAGTTGATTTGGCTTCTAGTGAGCTTTTGTTGGAGTATCGTCTAAAGGATTTAAAAGGTTCCAATCTGATAATTTACAAGAAATATATCCTATTCCTAAACATTATAATAATATGCAAGAAAGTCAGATTTATCAATATACACATAAAAAATTATATTATAGCTAGCTTATGGGGCATTTCAAAAAACATTAAACTATTCGCTAGAAGATAATGATCAAAAGCATTAGACGATATTATATTGTCTTATATTTTAGAAAAAGAAGCAAATCAGAAAACAGATATACAACCGAATCAAAAGGTTCTAAAAGAAAATACGAGTTTAAACTGCGAGATTAGATTGTCTAATAGTTATATATATAATACAGATAATGTAAAAGATCTAATAAAATGTCGAAGTAAAGGCAGACCCCAAACAAGTGAATAAAGGGTTATAATAAAAAAAATAAAGTAAATAGCCAAAAACAAAGTAATAATGATATAATCAATAATAATAATTCTAGTGGTCATAAATGTGGTTTGTGTTATAAAACTGGTTATTATGCTCCAAAATGTTCTACTAAAAATAGCAAATATTAAAATCTTATATATATGTTTATAGTCACAATACAATATTGAGTTATTTTTGCTTAGAGACCAAAAGCTAATTAATATAAAAGTTTATATCATTATTATATTCTTAGTAAGTTTTTTATATAATATATAGAGTGATGTATAATATGCGTTATACTGTGCAATGTATAAATGTACTCTATTAATTATATCAATATATTAAAATAAATTTTGAAATATATATACAAAAGAAACTCATATATATATATATATCAGATGTTGTAAAAATTATTACTATGTTAAATATTTTATTTTATAAATTTTATTTACAATTCTAGTTCTAAAATAATTATATACAATATATAGAACATTTTATATGATTTAATTATGATAGTAATAGTAATAGTGATAGTGATTGTAATCATTATAATTATAATTGTGATAATAATTTAATTTTTTATTTTTTTTATTATATGACCACAATTATAGTCTATATATTTTCTTTTTCAAAAATTATATATTTGTGCTTGTTAATAATAATAAAAATGATAATAATAATAATATCTTAACTATTTATTCTATTGTCATAGTGAATAAATCAACTGTGTCATTATCAAATAATAATTTTGAAGAAAATACAAAACTACAATCATTACTACCAGATATAGCAACAACAATATTAATATTAATAATAATATTATTATTATTATCATCTCAAACACAAAGATACAACCTCGCAAAAAGAAATATATGAATTTATTATTATTATCACAAGCACAAATATATAATTTTTGAAAAAGAAAATATATAGACTATAATTGTGGTCATATAATAAAAAAAATAAAAAATTAAATTATTATCACAATTATAATTATAATGATTACAATCACTATCACTATTACTATTACTATCATAATTAAATCATATAAAATGTTCTATATATTGTATATAATTATTTTAGAACTAGAATTGTAAATAAAATTTATAAAATAAAATATTTAACATAGTAATAATTTTTACAACATCTGATATATATATATATATGAGTTTCTTTTGTATATATATTTCAAAATTTATTTTAATATATTGATATAATTAATAGAGTACATTTATACATTGCACAGTATAACGCATATTATACATCACTCTATATATTATATAAAAAACTTACTAAGAATATAATAATGATATAAACTTTTATATTAATTAGCTTTTGGTCTCTAAGCAAAAATAACTCAATATTGTATTGTGACTATAAACATATATATAAGATTTTAATATTTGCTATTTTTAGTAGAACATTTTGGAGCATAATAACCAGTTTTATAACACAAACCACATTTATGACCACTAGAATTATTATTATTGATTATATCATTATTACTTTGTTTTTGGCTATTTACTTTATTTTTTTTATTATAACCCTTTATTCACTTGTTTGGGGTCTGCCTTTACTTCGACATTTTATTAGATCTTTTACATTATCTGTATTATATATATAACTATTAGACAATCTAATCTCGCAGTTTAAACTCGTATTTTCTTTTAGAACCTTTTGATTCGGTTGTATATCTGTTTTCTGATTTGCTTCTTTTTCTAAAATATAAGACAATATAATATCGTCTAATGCTTTTGATCATTATCTTCTAGCGAATAGTTTAATGTTTTTTGAAATGCCCCATAAGCTAGCTATAATATAATTTTTTATGTGTATATTGATAAATCTGACTTTCTTGCATATTATTATAATGTTTAGGAATAGGATATATTTCTTGTAAATTATCAGATTGGAACCTTTTAAATCCTTTAGACGATACTCCAACAAAAGCTCACTAGAAGCCAAATCAACTTTATTTCACATATCATCCTGAAACCATTGTGTTAGTATTATCTTAATATGAAACAATACATTTAAATTTTCTACCATGAGTTTAAAGTAATATCGACAAATAGTTTTATATGATACTAACAATAAGCATGTACATAAATGCGTTCCATCCTTGAGAAAAATAATATGCTGATATGAACTTGTTGTCATATATGGAACAATTCTCCACATTTCACAAATTAATTCTTTTAAAACTGAATTCATTAGTGTTTTTAAATATGCTTGTCGATGGTCATAATGGTCTTCAATATTTGTAATGTCTTCATTATCTTGATTATCCGCTAATAGTACTTCATTCTAAAATTATATAATATATACTAGTTAATATATCTTTAACTAATACTAATGCTAAACTATTTCTAAACTAACCTTAATCTAATCTTAACTCTAACTACTAGTATACTTCGTATAACCCTTTCCTAACCATAAACTAACCTTAAACTAACTCTAACTTTAACTACTAGTATACTTTGCATAAACTTTTCTTATACTAAATTAACTCATCTAACCTTAAATTAATTTATACTTTCTTATTACTATTAATTAACACTAACCTAAACCTTAATCTATAATAATATTCACTTAATAAATACTAATATAAGAATTCAAAATAGATAAAAGAAATCATAATTAACTTACTAATTGATCTTTAATAAATTTAAAAGCTTCTTCATTAGGTACCTTTTCATATTTATATAGTACAGATTCGTATATTTGTGTATGGATCGCTTCAATAATTCGTAGTGAAAAATATTTTTTTTTAAGTTATTTATTTTATTAAAAAAGTTCTTTACAATGAATAGTTGTTGATATATTGTTGACTTGTATTCCAAGCCATAAAACTTTTATTTATAGGTTCTTGTTGTATTCGAGAATCTAATGCTTCTACTACATTAGCTATAGAAGAACTAGCAGAAACAGCTTTGTGGATAAGCACATTTATTGACTTAACACATTGTATTGACTGCATACCAACTGTAAATATTCGGCTTGTAAAAACACGTACCCAAGAATAGCATGTTGTATAAATCAGATCTTACAAATACTTATTAATATTAGGATATGTATTTAATAAAGTTTGAAACCTTTGTTCAAAAATATTAACACATAATGCATTGCGTATTTTCTAAAAGTCATTAATAAATGCTTTGTAATCAGCAGAACCAAGTTTATTTTTAAGCTATTTGGGTAAGTTTTGAGATAAGTACCAAATACAATATACATGATAAGCATTATTATATATATTTTGACAAGCAGCATTCATGGCTGGGTCCATATTTGTTAAAATAACTTGTGGTTCAAGACCAGTTGTATCTAATATCTGTTGTAATATTCACTCATAGCTTTCTTGTGTCTCATCATTTATAAAGGCTTGTCCCCCTAACCGTAATTTTCTATCATTATCAACAAGTATAAACAATGATAAAGGATAGTTATATTTATTAGTTCTTGAGGTGTTATCATGTAAAATGACATCTGAGTAATGGGTCTACAACATAATTTGGTCTCCTGTCATCCAAAATATACTACATAATCTATCACTATCCATATTAATAAAAGGTTGTATAAACATCATAGGCTCTTTTTTTTGTTTCTCAAGAAGATATTTTAACAATTAAGAGATGTCTGAGCTGGCAATATTTTTTCACGGTTTATTTTTTGTATAGCATTCGAGAGATCTTGGGTAAGAAAAAGTTGATTAGGAAATAATGGTTATAATAAGTTCCTTATGGTGTATGCATCACAATGACCATAAATTACAGCACGTTCAATTTCTAACATTATGGCTTGATCAAATTTTCAGAATGTTGTAGCAAACTTTGAATTATCAGCAATTA